CGTTCAATCCTAATATGTGATGTTGTTATGTATGTTTACTTACTGAGTATGGTATGGACTATGTTCATGGACGCCTTGTTTGACTAAGTTACGTTGACTCGCGGGTGACGTCATTTAGTCATACGGCGGTTGTACACGCGCTCAGATGCGGTCTGGGGTGTGACAATATACCACATGCACTATCATCTCGTAAAAAGACTGTTGAGGTTTATTCCTTCAACCTTTGGGTTCAACACGTAAGCCCAAAGATTTCGAGTGGAGTTGTGTATTTGTGCGAATAAACTAGCCCAATAGCAACTAAGATGGATTAAGAGATAATAATGATAAGCAAGTAAGAGATCAGGTATTATTAATCAGTCAATAACTCCCCAATACAATACGCTTGCTAAGGCTCGTCGACCGTTCGTCTTACAAGGCAGTAGAAGGGCTGCGAGTAAGAGCAATATAAGCTAGAGTACTAAGAATAGTAAGTTGCCAACCCTTTACAATGAAATAAATGCTGCTATTTATACTACCAATGGGCAGTTGGCTATGCTGACGTGGAGGCCTATGTGTGGCTGGCGTCCCAACCACCAAATCTCTGGCACTATTATAGGTATATGGGTGGGTTGGGACCGAGTGGTGTCCCTATGATGATTTATTTGAACAAGGAGGAGTTCTATACACTCATAGGTATATGGGTGGGTTGGGATTTAAGTCAAGGACATTGGCTCTATTATTTTCCCAAATAAACAATGACCTACGGGTCGGGTATTTCCAAGTGTATATATACTAATATGTATTTCAAAACTTGGGGGGAGGACTATATGTATATGTATCACCCTATGTTTGGGTCTTATACTTGAAACGTTAGTTATTCTACATTTAGCTTGCTACTCGCTCGGTACTTGTACTGACCCCTTCTGGGGGCCCACCATTTCAGGTTGAAGCTAAGGCTAGCTATCCACACCTTGCTCGGTGAAGTATTCCAAAGGAAGACGTGGTTCGTGCTTCCTTTATTATTTTAAACTACAAACTATGCTCATGGATGCTATGTAATAAATACATTTGTTTTGGGCCTGCGTGCCTACGTTTTGGCCATGTGTGGCCCACGATTGAATATTGAATATTTCCACTATTCGTTCAATCCTAATATGTGATGTTGTTATGTATGTTTACTTACTGAGTATGGTATGGACTATGTTCATGGACGCCTTGTTTGACTAAGTTACGTTGACTCGCGGGTGACGTCATTTAGTCATACGGCGGTTGTACACGCGCTCAGATGCGGTCTGGGGTGTGACAATATACCACATGCACTATCATCTCGTAAAAAGACTGTTGAGGTTTATTCCTTCAACCTTTGGGTTCAACACGTAAGCCCAAAGATTTCGAGTGGAGTTGTGTATTTGTGCGAATAAACTAGCCCAATAGCAACTAAGATGGATTAAGAGATAATAATGATAAGCAAGTAAGAGATCAGGTATTATTAATCAGTCAATAACTCCCCAATACAATACGCTTGCTAAGGCTCGTCGACCGTTCGTCTTACAAGGCAGTAGAAGGGTTGCGAGTAAGAGCAATATAAGCTAGAGTACTAAGAATAGTAAGTTGTCAACCCTTTACAATGAAATAAATGCTGCTATTTATACTACCAATGGGCAGTTGGCTATGCTGACGTGGAGGCCTATGTGTGGCTGGCGTCCCAACCACCAAATCTCTGGCACTAAATGCGCTTCCCGTCAGAATCTGGGTTTTCCGCCTAGTTTGTGGAGACGTACGTCCAGTCTGGATAAGGGGGTCTGCTCCTGGTGATACTTGATACTGCAAAGGGTAATGGGTCGCTCGTATCCTGACCCTTAGAGGATTTGTCACATCGATTGGACTGGCTCCAATCGTTAGTTGCTCCCGGGGACGCTGTTCGTCGTCGTTGAGTTTGTCAGTGGACTTGATCCACTTGTCCTTGTACGGACGTTCGTCTGGCTGGACCGCCTCATTAGATAGACGTTCGTCTGGATTGGGGGATGATGGGCCGGACCCTTATTTGGACCATTAAACCAACAAAGACTAAAATGGATGTTTTTGTACATACAAACTAGTATAAGGCAACAACAGGGTGAAGAATTGTGGCTATTGGAAGGAGATCGAGAGCAGGAGTGTCGGAATTGAAGACGTGGAGGATTTGGATATCAATGATTCAATATGGTCATGGAGATGGAGGCAAACATCTGAAAAATGGGAGGCTGATGAATCGCTTTGCAGTGGCTCGTCTAAGGGCATGTTTGTCACAACTAGCTGAAAAGATACTTTTGTGAGCTTTTTAATAGCGGTTAGCTTTTAGTGACTGAGAAGATCTTAAAAAGAAAAGGTGGTAGCTGTTTGATAAAAAGTTGACTGTTTGATTTAGTTCGGTTTGGTATACAAGCTGTTAGGATTAAATAATACTAAAAGTCACTAGCTTTTCTTAGATGCTACTCCCGTTAGCATCTCAAAAAAGATCTTTTAATTTTTGAAAAGCTCTTAAATATTGTCATGCCAAACACACAACTAGAAACTTTTAGGAACTTTTTGAACAGTACAAAAGCTAGAAGTCAGAGACTTATGCCCGCCAAACATAGTCTAATGCAACATTGAAAAGTACTTTTGCAGCTTTTGATGTTGTGGAGGCGCTAGCGGATGACAAGCTTATTTTAGTTATTTAGAGCCCGTTTGGTAGCATTAAGGCTATGTTTGGCTGACATAAGTCTATAGCTTTTGACTTTTGTACTATTTAAAAAGTCTCTAAAAGTTGTTAGTTGTTTGTTTGGCACGCCAATTTTTAAGAGCTTTTCAAAAAATAAAAGCTCTTTTTTGAGATGTTACAGGTAATAACATCTGAGAAAAGTCTGTGACTTTTAGCTTTAATAAATCATAACAGCTTGTATGCCAAACATAACTAAATCAAACAATCAGCTTTTTACCAAACAGCTACCATCTTTTACTTTTAAGATCTTTTCAGTCATTAAAAGCTAACAGTTACTAAAAAGCTCACAAAAAGATCTTTTCAGCTAATTGTACCAAACATAGCCTAAATAGGTTGTTTTGGCTGATTCTGCTGAAATTTATGAAGTTCTGGCTGAAGTGGCTGCATTGGTTGATTCTGCTGATTTTAAAAAAATTGAAATATATTTTATTAATAAAATAAAGAAAAAATTGTATGTAAAAATAGCTAAATTAGTCATCTACAATAACTTCAGCCAATACAACCAGAAAAATAACTTCAACCTTACTTTTTCTGCTTATTACACAATTCAACACGCAAAATCAAAAGTTACGTGTTTGATAAAAAAGTTGGTTGATAAGCTTGATAAAATGAAAAACGGTGCTGAAACGACCTCTTACTTTTGCTTTTAAATTTTACAATTTAGTTCGGTATTTTGTTCTATTTTCCATGTCAAAGCTAGAGATACGTGGATGGCTTTTGAGTGCGTGTTTATGTCAATTATGTGGCCATGTGGGGTTGGTTGACATGAGAATATGAGATACGTATTTGAATGAGTGATGTGTTTTTGAAGTTCTCCTTTATTTAGCGATACATTTTGCTGGGTTATGTGGTGTGATAACCTTTTAAGTATCATGAGCTCATAAACAATAGAAATGAGGCGAGTATGATGTTGAGTTTGTTAATTTAGTTGATCTAAATAATCTAATACTACGTACTACATATTATTTTCTTGTTTGTAAACACAAGTAAAAACATACGTGAAGCTCTATGACCCCACTATAGAAATATGGAGTTATACAGTACATGTGATATCATTATTATCATTCATATCATTATTATCATTCATTTATGAAATAGAATCATCATCACCGTAAAAATGAATAATTACTAAGAGATAACATGCCCTATACAATTCCCTAGTGGAATCATATAGAGTTCTATAAATTTTTTCAAAAAAAAGGGGTGAAAATGGTTAAATAAGATTTTCTACTATTATGATCATCTACTTATAAAATAAGATCATGTACGCAATAAAATGTCATATAAATACATCTACTTATAAAAAGTAATCAGATGAGTCCTAATGACCCGTTGACAACCTCTTAATCACAACTTTAGCTCACATTTCGTTATTTTTATTTTGTATTTAAGTCAATCATAATTAAATATTTCACGTCAATCATATAATCTATTTTAAAAAGATAGTCAGACGTATGCTAAAATTGGGAGTATGAGGTTGTCATTTGGTCATTTTGACTCATCCAGTTGCTTTTTATAAGTAAACGTATTTATATGACACTTTATTGAATACAGGGCCGACCCAGAGGGTGTGTAGGGTGTCCGACCGCACAAGGCCCAAAAATATGGAAGGCCAAAAAAAAAATTAGTAGTAGTATTACTACTAGTCTACTACTCTGTATAAGCTAGTCAGCCCAATAGCGAACAAAAAGGTGTGAGACGAGCATAGCAATCTGCAAAAGAGGAAGCGCATAGGCCAAAGGGCATAACGAGTGACTGAGCGAGACGAGTGACGTGCCGACGACTCTCCGTCTCCAGGCTCTGCTCTAGCCTCCGGGCATCCTGATTTCTAAGTTGCTGTGGCGATTCGAACGCATCTAGGACGGCAAGACTCCACTATTCTAGGTAAATTCGTAACTAATAGAGAGTAATGGTTCTTTATGAATTAATTTTGTAATCTGAGTTCAACAAAGTGATATTAATAGGTTCTTAGGCTGTTAGATTTATTTTTGTTTCAGTTATACGATAAATAATTTTTTCTTGGATTTATTAGTGTTAGTTAATACTAGCAACTTCTATTTTGAAATAATTTTTTAATAAATTACTACTACTCCGTAATAACAATTTACCATCTCAATTGAAATAGCATTTCTATTAACGATAGAAAAGAAAGATCTGATTTTTGTTGTTGCACATGACCCTCGTTTTCTCGAGACCGACCCTAATTGAATACATGACCTTATAACTATTTCATAATAATAAAAGGATTATTTTGACCCTTTTCCCAAAAAAGTGTATCAAAAGATTCAAAACAACATAGCAGAACAGAGTGATTTGGGGTTTTCGATTGGAATACAATCAGTTTTACCGTTCTTAGTTCAAAAATACCAGCCCAATCAAGGCGGAGTGAGATCCCGGAAGAATTTGGGTTGCCACTTGCGAGCGACCATATACTCCGTCAACAATAGGAAAGCCGTAGACAGAAAAGGATAGTAAATCAAGTGTGGAAAGGTCGTCGCAATCCCGCTGCAGTGGTTAATTCCGCCACCGCAGAGGATCTTCGCCATTTCCCACCGCCTCCCTATGGATTTCCGCATCTCCGGCGCCTCTCCTTCATCTTCTTCCACATCGTCGACGGACCCTCACAACTCGTCCACGTCTCACCACCGCCGGCCCCAGAATGGAGGCGCCGACAACAATGGCAGCGACCCTATGCACTCTTGGTGGGAGTCAATGTCCAAAGCCCGCTCCCGCATACTCCTTCTCTCTAATATTCTCCCCTCGGATTCCACTGCCGTCGCATCTCTCACTGATTCCGATCAGCCAGCTCGCTCGCTCCTTCTCTCCCACCCTGCTTACTCTTTGCTCTCTACTTCTCTCTCCATTCCGTCTTCCGGCTCCGGCGACGATCCGTTGTGCCACTGGTTGTACGACACTTTCCTTAGCGAAGATTCCGATCTCCGCCTTGTCGTCCTCTCTTTCGTTCCGCTTTTGTGCTCCCTTTATCTTTCCCGTATCCACTCGTCTACACCCACCTCTACCACGCCGTCACTCTCCGGTTTCGAAGCTGTCCTTCTCGCTCTGTATTCTGCCGAAACCAAAGCCCGAGCCGGGAAACCGATACTGATCTCATTACCTGATCTGTCTCAGCCGTCCCTGTATCATACACCGCGAAACCCTATTCAAAGTAGATCGACATCGATCCAGCCGTCAGTTGCAGTTCTCTCGCCTCCTCTCGAGCCACAGATCGCCGTGAAGTCAACCAAACGGGCCTCAATCGTTGGGGCTGCGCTGGACTGTTACTACAAACAGATCTCACAAATGCCAAGTTGGTCAAAGGTTGACTTTTGTAGATTTGCAGCCGATTGGGCTGGCCAGGACTGCCCTTGTGTGTCGGAGTTGGATGAGAATCACCGCCCTAGATTAGAAAATCTGTTTTCAGATGATTCTAGGGTTCCCGAGGGGTTCTCAGAAGAATTCAGCAACTTGGAGATTGACAAGAAGTCAGATGGAGTGAGGATTCCGTTGCCATGGGAGCTATTGCAGCCTGTGCTGAGAATTGTAGGGCATTGTTTGTTGGGTCCTTTGAATGGGGAAGAAGATGTGAAGAATGGGGCATCACTTGCAGTGAAGCGTTTGTATGCAAGGGCCCAACATGACTTAGTTCCCAGGGCAATTTTGGCAACCAAAAGTCTGGTTCAGCTGGACAAGAGAGCTCGAGATGCCACCCGGGTGGCTAACGCTTCCACTTCTACATCAAATGCTAACACGCCTAGCAAAGCAAAGAAGCCAGAGATTCTTTTGGTTTCAAAATGAATTGCCAAGCCAATTATGTAAGCGTCTCATTTGCTTTATTTTTTATATTTGAATGTGGGATTAGATGTTTGTTTGTGTTGTAGACTTGTAGGTTAGAATCTTTAAAGACTTGTAAAAGTAAATTGTTCATGTACTTATATATATTTTTGGTACATTATATATGAGAATTGCCCATGAGTTTGCATTGTGAGTTTGTTACTGCTTGTTGTGTTTATTGATTTGGCCATTTAAGCGTCCGCCTAAATTTCTTAGAAACACATCCTTTAAATTGTTTGCCATGGTGGAGTCATCCGCCTCCATAGTTGTGATTTGTGAAGCCAGGCAAAGGATGCTTACCTCCTTTGGCTGTACCTTCATTTCTTGTTCTTGCTTTCTTATGTGTTACTCCTTGCGTCCCCAAAAAGGAATCAGATTTTAATTCTTTTCTCAAAAATAGAGTCTTGTTTCAACAAAAGAAACTACTTTGCATTATGTATACATGCATACATACATATGTCACACGAAGTATATATCCCAAAAAAGCTGTCATGGACAAGTTGCACGTGATATATTATTAAAAACACAAATAAAATTTAACATATAGGTAGAATTGATTATTTCAAATAATTGGCATGTAACAAGTTAAATTGACAATTTTAACACAAAGTCAAATTGACAAATAATTGGCATGTAACAAGTTAAATTGACAATTGAATAACTTGTACATTATAGGATGCTTGTTTTTTGTAGTAAGCTTGCTTGGACTTGATTTCTTGTAATAATGATTGACATTCTTGTTGATTTTATCAAAGCTTAAATCTCAATACATATGGAATTTGTGTTAAGATTAGAGAATGTGTTTTGGAGTAATTTTCAGGACTAAAGTGGATTAATCAACATTATTGAAAGGACACTGCTTTTTGTTACCCTGTATATCCGAATTGAAGGGCCAATGCAGATATACTCCGTAATATATTACTCTGTATATTTGAGACATGGGTTGTATCAATGAAGATCAGATTCACATACAGCGTTGACCTGAAAACTGTATATTCTGCAATAGCAATGAGGTGGCAAGATGAATGTCATGTATGTATCATTTTCAATGTCAAGGTTTTAGAAGCTTTGTTACATGAGATGAATTCCTACGTTACCTCTTGTAGTCTTGGCGCCTATCATAGTATCATCTTTGTTGTAACCTCCCTCCCCCAAGTGCTATATATTGTTCCTAGCTGTGTATTGTTTAGAAAATAGAAATTGATCCATTTCAAAAGTTCGCATCATTGTTTTTCTATTGTATTGCACAGCCCTTGTTTGGATCTTGAGATTTCTCTTATCCAACTTCCTACTTCTGATAGGTAGCCACTGTTTGTGATTTTATGCAGTTCTGCATGGGTTTTAAGTTTGTTTTTAGACACTTAAATGGGTGTAAGGAGCTCTTAAGTAATGCATGGAAAGTTGTATGCAATGTAATGAAATGTGTAAGCTTAGCAGAACTTTTTTATACATTTGTATTGGGAATCGATCTTGTTGAATAACAATTCATTTGGTAATATTTGTGTTGTTCAAAATATCAAAAGTGATGTGTGTGTCACCTTCTCATGTCCCATGTCAAAATGCATAGGACTTTTGCAAGTACTGGAGCCAGAGCTTCACTTGCTATCTGTTGATATGTGATTATAGTCCAATTTACATCCTCCTAGTTAATTGTCCGGTCGGTATTGAGGCTCTCTGGATGGGTTGCCATTGTCCATTCCCTATTACTCGTGTAAAAAAAACGGTTGGATAAAGGCCCCGTTTGGTAAATGGCGTTTCAGCCAAAAATTGGCGGATTTGACTGAAATTAGCGTTTTTAATCGGTCAAACCGCTAATATTAGGTGTTTGGCAGATGGCGTGTTTGTAAGGCGTTTTCGTCCCAACCGCTGAAAAACAATACGCTGCAAAGTGGAGCGTTTCACGATCAACGGTTCTCTTGCTCAATTAATTCTCCCTCTTACCCTCCCCTATTCTCCAATTTCGCAGACCTTTCCTGTTCTTCCGCACAAGAAAACTATAGCAAGCTTCCGCAGTGTTTAAGAAGCTCTTGCTTTTGTCGCCCAGATGCTACGCGGACTCCTCCTTCGAAGTTTTGTTCGAAGGTTGTCAGGCTATGGGAGAGCTTCCGACGCCATGAATGCCTGGCAGATGGGTCGATCCGACCCGAGAAAGATCATCTTCTCCGCCAAGATGGGTGTGGCGTCGATGCTAATTCCTCTTCGTTGTGTGACGCAGGTTGGCTAATTTTGGATTCGTTTTATCTGAGTTCTTGAGGCCTTCACCAAGTCCCAGTATAGCCTTGCGAGGACTGGTAACAAATCTGGTCATCGTTGACCAATATTGCCAAAATATTGCATTCGAAGACAACTATTGAAGAATTTTATTTGTTTATGGCCAGATTTCTGTTTGGTGACATGTTTGTTTGAGCACCCTGTTTAACTCCCTAGATCTGGTAGTTCATGTTTGATTAGAGACTCTGGAGTATATTTTTATTGGTATAGCCGTATAGGCTATCCATATACTTCGTATATAAAAATGATTAATGTCCTTTTTTGTCTTTTTATTTATTAACCGCTAAAATAAAACAGCTAAGTTACCAAACGTCTTCCTGAAATCCGCCAAACTAATCCGCCGGTCAAATCCGCTGACTCAATTCGCTATTTACAACCCGCTAACACAATCCGCTAACCGCTAATCGCTAACCGCCGATTGCCAAACAAGGCCAAAATGCATGGTCGCTGGCCTATTTCAAAGTAACCAAAACGGTTTTTTGCAAATTAATCGGTTGGCCATAGTCCACTTCCAGCTTGAAATCTGATGTCCAGCTTAACCTGTGAGGGCATTTATAATCTGTCATAACATTTATAATGGTATATTATGCAAATCAAGCTTAGATATATTAGTATGTTACTATATGTAGCATGGACCTTATTTTTTTAGTTTGTTGCAACTTTTTTCCCCAGATCGTTCATGCAAAAGTCCTAAATCAAGAGCTAAATAAAAGCAAACAGCCTGCATTCAAGGCTGCGACCCATGGATGTTTTTTTTAAATAAAATCTTTCATTGTTCGTTTTAGTAGTAATGATAATTGATAACTAACGGCCTGTTTGGATGAAGTGTTGAGAGGTGTTAGTAATGGAAGTGTTAGTAAGTGTTGACAGAGGTCTGGAAGGGAAGGTAAGTGTAGGTGTTAAACGCAATCTTACCTTTGTTTGGGAGAGTTAATAAAATGAAGTGTTAGTAATGGAAGTGTTTTCACTTAAATTGACAAAAATATCCTCATACCTTTTAATTATCCTAATTATCTCAAACCTAAACTAATATGCCGGTGATAATGATTCCAAGGATGTTTATCCCAATTTACAGCCAATTATTCAGAGTATTCTATTATCCCAAGTCTACAGCCAATTATTCCAAGGGTGTTTATCCTAATATACAACTACAGTTCGTATGAGATTGATAAAGCTCCAAATGAATTATATATACACGAATCGATAAAGCACAGAGAATGATAAAGCAAGGACTGAATAAATAAATCAAGAGTAGAAGAACAGTCTCTACAGGAATTGAAAAAGATGAAGAACCGGCTGCCGAAGAAGAATGGGGAGGAACGTAGATTTTGAATTTTATTTTGACAAGGACAAAGGTTGTCCAACACTCCATTACACTCCAAATTGGGGTGTTAAAAAAGTGGCAAATATAGGTGTTAGGAAGGTTTTGTTTAACACCCTCAAACACTTACTAACACTTCTACAAATTTTTAATTTTTCTTCCAAACAAGTGTTAAACTACACACTCCTTAGCACTTCCATTACTGACACCTCCTAACACTCAATCCAAACAGGCCGTAAAGCAATGCCAGAAAGCGGGTGTTTTTCTTTTCACTTTCTCAGTCAAAATTTAGCTTGTTTGAATAAGATTGATTAGTAAGTCCTCGAAACATTAGCTTTGCTAATTGTTTGACTTCCATTGGGGAACAAAATACTCCGTATATAAAATGAAACTGTTTTACTAGACGTAAAACTCCTATGTAAAAAACAATACCAGAGAACTGAGTTGTTTGTTGCACATTTGCACAATGTACCGCTAGTAATAATACGGCACACTAAACCCGATAGTTCATACTTCATACTCCGTATATTCTTACTTATATAATTCCCATTTGAGAAGTTATAGCCAAAACTAGACTATCAGTTCATAATAATCCCCATGTGTGCCATTATACTCCCACATTTGCGCAATTTGGGTAAAATATGAACGAACCAAACACCACTCAGTCTTCACACTTAATATTTTGCTTCTTGGGTGCTCGCAATGTCAACATCAAATACAGGGCTGGCCGGTATGAAGATTTTTTTGGATAGATTTTTACACGATATTTTTTACACTAATGGTTGACGAATTTTTTAAGATTGAGATGATTCAGGGCCTAGTATAGCCCCCCCCCCCCCCCCTACGTCCTCTCTTGCTCAGATGTATACTATGGAGTACTTCACTACTACAACTACCATGAATATGAGAGCATCTTCAAGTCTCATTTCTCAATTAAACAGATCATGGGAACCCTAAGCACATATCAGGAGGGACCTCAGACACGCTGATTTCCAGTATTTGATTTCCAGTATTTGATGGAACATGAACTATACCGGGTATTTATCGGATCCCAGTCCCAATTTTAAACCAAATTTACAGGTGGTGCCATGAATTTACCCAGTTCCAATGCAATTCCAAAACCAGGTCCACCCCTGGCACAAATCATCAAATCTAAAACCAGAGAATACAATTTAGGTCGAAGATAATTACATTTATCGAAATAGTTTATTCAATTATCGATAGCCTTAATAGCCAAATCAAAGATATATTAATTGGGGAATTACATCAAAGACATCCTACAAATAAGGATATACTATCGTACTACATAAACGCCAAAAATATTGGCACTTATTGTTAAAAAGATATTCAACACAAGATCTTCAAGAGTGACTGGCAACGAGGCCATTGAACTGCATGGTCATCTAAACCAAAAAGACCCCTTCCGAGTGGTGACAGCTTTTTTGACATCAATCTCTTCAAGCGTGGCGAACAACGACAACAAAGGCTCACTAGAATCGTTGTAGGATTCATCAGTGGTGTGGTGTACATGTTGTTCAGGAACGCCTTAAATTCTTCCATAACTCAAAGGAAGTAATAACCCCTGCTAGAGATCAACTGACCTTCATCTGAGCAAGTAAGACCGAAATTAGCAAACAAATATGAAGATCAAGCTGCATGAAGTAGTGGCAAAACACATTCACGGACGTGCCACTGGGAGCAGACTTCCCGCAATGGATGGAAAACCGAGATGAGGGTGGCATCTGAGTAAAATAAAGAAGCCATCACTGTTGGGGATGAACAGACGACAGAGATTTAATCCGTAGAAGTTGCAGACCAAAGAATGAACACATCCAATAAAATTTATTCTAGAAGGGTATTTACTCGTGGAGCTCAAGCTACCCAGAGTCGAAATTCTACTCATGACCATCCCATCCAAAGGACTCAAATATAGACAAGGTTTATATCATTTAAAGCTTTTCCTACTTATACATACCTGTAATGTGTAGCAAGCCTTCATCTCTTTTTCAACAATTGCATCTCTATGACAAAGTAATTCCTTAGCGATTACAGGTGCTAGTGATGAATCCCTGAATCTGTACATCGACTCCTTAGAATATTAGGTGAGATTGTAAGACATGATTGCAATTTATTACTATCAAAAGTCGCACAAGTGTGGAATTTATTATTATTATTATTATTATTATTATTAGTATTATTAGTATTATTAGTATTATCATCATCATCATCATTGCTGTTGTTATTATCATCATTTTTATGACTATGAAACCTTACCACAGGCGATGACGAGTCTGAGGGCTCATGAAATAGTAACTGTGCGATGGATCGATCTATTGGGTTTGTATCAGTTTCCATACCCAGGTGTCCAACACACCTGCAAAGAAATAAAAATTTGCCGTGAATCATAAAATATTATATTTGACTTCTAAAACCACTCACCTTTTAGGACAAAAAAAATAGGAGTAATAATCATGAAACGAGACTTCTTCTTTCTAGACGGGGAGAGTAATTCATTACACACGTAAGTGCTCATGTGCAATATACAACCACCAAAGTGAAAAATGTAAGACACTTTTCAGGCATGATAGGGTATAGTAATAAAGGAAAAAAAGATGTATGGGCTGTTCATGCATACATTGACTTTCATAAAAGCAAGGTCAATAATATATTTCTCGATTCAAAATAATGGGTGTCGACTTAATTGATTGAAAGTTCATTCTCTGTACTCCATTAATTAAATATTTTAATTGGGGGTTTTACTGTTTTTATTAGAGTATGGATAAATTAATTCCTCATTTTAATGTACTAATAATTACTCTCTGAGCATTTCATTGTGAATTAAAACCACTTCACATTCAATAGCTATCATAAAACGTTGACCCTACTGTGAGCTCCAACAATAATAGATCTCCTTGTTCTAAAATGGTGCACAGTAAGGAATATCAGAAAAACTGCTGAGTAACTTACTACTGTTAGTAAATAAGAATTATGTGTAGTGTTATGCTAAATACAAAAAGTTGAATATCAAAGCCATAAGGAACTACGATTGACTGAAGTAAATACACAAAAAATCACCTCGTTTAAATATAAAATACTATAAGGATATATGATTCATGGTGTTAAAGTATTTATCCTGCATTTCCTATAAGGTTCAATTTTTAGGATGATCTTAAATAATGATTTGTTATTTTAAACTTATGTGATGTGGGACAAATACTTCAACATATGGTGAAAAGTTCAATTGCGCAGTAAGGAGAGACATTGCATACCTGTCTGTTCCACTAGCATCTCTATTATCTCCATTGAAGTTTGCATGTCTGTGTCTCTGTTCAGCACTTTGAGCTAATCGGTACAAACTGTCCCTTATGCATAGCTTTGTCTCCAGATCAATCTAATCAAGTGAAAACTAAAATATATCAGTTTCATACAAGAGATATGTGTATATCGTAAGGTCTGTAGCAGTGTTTTTCTGTTATTGATAATAATTAAAAATAAGCACCTGGTCAATGGCATGCCGAAGCTGGTGAAAACAAGTTGCTTCTTCTGAAACTTCATCCAACCCTGAACTGAAGGAAGAGCTTGCCAGTAACATTGAAGGACCCATAGGAGCTTTTATGTTTGCTCCATCCAGGTCAATGTGATTTTCAGAGCTGAACCCTGTATCGAGATGCCTCTTAATGGGCAAAAGCTGATTTGGCACATGTGAACCCTTAGGGGAAACAGACACTAGAGCATTGCTTTCAGACATGATATTTGAACTACGATCCGGATAATGATTGTACTCTGAGTGCATGTAAGGGAAGCAGTTTTGCAAGTATGCAAAAGAATCGGAGGGGAACTGGTTTTCCCGTTGAGTGCATATTGATGTGATAGTTGATTGAGGAGAGTCAGTTGAGGTTGATCGTTTTGCATCATGCAAGCTACCATTAAATGGAAATGAAGCTCCATTTTCCATGAATATGCATGTCCTCTGCCCCTCGGAGCGGTTGTTGGGCTTTGACTGCTTTTTATGTGAATTAGTCTGCAAAGCATAACTACATAAATTATTACAGAACTTAAAACCATTAAATTAACGTAAAAGTTTTTCACCGAATGAATAAAGAAAAATTGAAATAACAAAACTGCATAAAATTGCCACAAAAAATATACTCATTATATTCTGAATCTAAAAGTCACACAATGCAGTACATATATCACAAGCAACGTTTATTGTAATTTCTTAAGAAGTAAAATATTGAGTTACTTATGAGTCTTAGATGCCAAATATGCATGTCCGGAATAAGAAAATAAAAATATTAAGCCAATTTTTATTTCTTGACATTTACAATGTATTATAACTTGTAAGTATGTGTTATTTAGAGCCCAAAATGCAAGTAGAAAGTAAGAAAAGAAGAACAAATAACTTGCCTTCCTTTCAGGTATTGATCCATCTTTGCAATCAGAACTATGAGAACCTTCCACAAATGACAGATGATTGACAATGTCAGATTCACCTTTCTCAAAAACCCAAAGATCCTCCCTATAACTATTGCCGGATTGGCCACTCCCTAGAATATTTTCTGGTGCATTGGGGGAGAGGCATGAGAACTTAACATCTGTCCTTGATGCTTCTTTAGAGCCTTCAATATCATTCAAAGATGAAAGCCATCCTGATATATCACCATCGCTATCACTGGTTGCATGTCCAAATGTGGAATCGCAATTTCTGCAAGATAATATCAATAAGTTATACTATAGCTGGTGCATTCGAATACAATGGAACCATTTTTTCACTTAAAAAGTAAGGTTACCTAAACATTCTGTCAACGTCTTCAAAGTTCCCTATTTCAGGCCATCCGTACTCTAAAGTATCGCTACCATTTTTCTCGTCATTATCATCATCCAAGAAAAACTGATAGCTATTAGAGTTCCCATCAACCCCTGCCTTTTGGTCATCAAGAATATGACCAGTTTCACAAAAATCCCTTCCAATTGACTCCATGGTGTTGCTTTCAGATGATAAGTTTGACACTCTGTTGACTGTGTCGCTCTGGTGTGAAGTAGGAAATACATGACTTGGTGCATCACACCAAGACCCTTCTGCCAACAGCTTCATCCTACAGTTATTCTCGTCTTGTTCCTTTGGCTTCTTAGCATATCCTGTCGAGGATATCTCATGCCGTGGTTTCTTATGATTAGCACCCTGGAGTTGATGCTCATCAGCTGATGGACCACAAGGATTTGGTGGTACTATATGGTCACCACTTCGGCAAAAATCATCCCACGCTGCATCTTCAATCTGTAAGACATGTAACAGAAATTTAGCTGTCATAACTCCAGAAATCATGGCTTAAAGACCGAGAGAAACCTATATCAGAGAGTAGAGTGTACGACCAGGATAGTGTCCGGGTTTACATATAAACAAGGGAAAATTATCAATTTGGTCCTTTTACTATCACGAAAACGTCAATTAAGTCCTCGTACTTTTAAAAAAATCAAACAAATCCTCGAACTTTGGAAAAACGTTCAATCGAGTCAATTAGCAGGTTACCCACCACGTCACCAAGGCACATGCTGATGTGGCAGCACATTTAGCAATGACTTTGTTGACGTGGCGCTCACGTGGAAGAGCCATTTCCCAATGACGCGGCGCACACATGGATCGTCGTGTGTGCGCCACATCAGCGGGCGACCTACTGACATGGAAGGTAACCCGCTAATTGACTCAATTGAAAGTTTTTTCAAAGTACATCAACTTGTATGAGGTGGAGTAAAGAGTACACTATATTGCATTTGATCTTTTTAAGTACACAAACTTGGATATTTAGTGCTAATTGAGTACACTCGTAAGATTAACATGTTAATATGACTGAGTTTGCTAACAGAATGCGGAGTAAGAAGGGATAATGAACCAAGATTATGGCGCCAACCTTCGGAGTCGACCAAAAAGAGAAAATCAACCTTCGGAGGTCGACCTATGGGGGGCGGGGGCGGGGGCGTCATCCAGCGGGGGTGCATTGACCAAGGGGAAGTCAACCTGCAGATGATTGACGTCGATCAAGGGGAAGTCGATCTATTAGCATTTTGTTAGCAAACTCAGTCGTATTAACGTGTTAATCTAATGGGTGTACTCAATTAACACTACAAAATCGAGTTTGTGTACTTAAATAGATCGAATGCAATATGATGTACTCTTTACTCCATCTCATACAAGTTGATATACTCAATTGACCTTTACCTCATTTTTTTAAGTATTAGAACTCAATTGACGTCTTTGTGATAGTACTAGGACCAAATTGATAGTTTTACATATAAACAAGGGAGCAAACACATATCTAAACACACCGCAAATTCAGAAAATTGTTTGGAAGAAAAATGCATCGGATTATCGGAACCAATAAACTCCTGTAAAGGATACAATGGTGCAGTAATTTGTTTGTGATTTAAAAAAAAAATTGGGAGCAATTTCTATTTTATTTTCTTGTGCTAAAACCGAAAGTCCCTACCTCATAGGAGCACAAATCTGACATCTTTCAATTCCTTCAACAAGCAGTCAAATTGTATGCAGAACTCTTGTTTGATATCACATCAAGAACCCAGGTCCTCCCCTTTAATCCTTTATCCTACATCCCCCAAATCAGCCGACAGGGTAAAGAAAAAGTCAAAAAAGTATTAGACCTAGTACAGAAACTCCAACTAACCGATCTATTAATCCAAAACAAATATCAATCCGATTAAAAAACAATCTGATTTCTTCTTTTAAACAGAATATACAGAACAGCAGAATCAAAGCATCTCCCAGCTACTCAAAAACATACTTCAAAGCTTCCAACATAAATTCATGACAAAGAGATAAAATTCAACCACAATAGTTACTTTAGATTCAAAAGAAAACTGTTATGTTCAGCTAAACCTTAGTACTGTCCAAGATCTTGCTGGAAACTCACCGGAGAAAACTGATAACCGAAAACTCGCCGGGAAACCGCCAACTTTACAGGTACCCAACACTTCCCGCCGACAAAGATACCCTAATTCGGCCCTCGGAAATGCGAATCTAGGGTGTTCTTCTGGACTTGTACGGAGAGCGAAAACAGAGGTGGGGGGAAAAAGATGGCTGCTATTTCCTAGGGAATTGTTTTCTTTGAACAGACTGTAATCTAATTTGTGGCGTCGATGGGCGCCACGTGTCGTACGGATGAAAATTGAGGCGGCTGAGCGTTCTTCTCGGGGTTGGGTGGGCATCAAATTAGTGGACGAGAATGCCGGTGGAGATACGATCTGTTTCCGTCACCCCGTTGGTCCACGTCGTTTACACCGGTACACGTGTCGGTCGGTCCAGGAGCGTTGTACAAAGAAAACGGCCCTTAAGCATGTGTGGCCGTCCATTTAACAAACCAAAAGTCCAAAACATAGATACTCCATAAAAATAAGGGGATAATTCCCAAAATAAATGGTGGCTTGCGAATAGATTTTAAAAGTTCGTGCATATTAGGTGTTACGTAGTAATAATAAAAATAAATCATTTAGATATTGTAGTAAAAATAAAATAAATAAATAAATAAATATATTACAAATTACTACGTAGTAAATATTACGGAGTAATAAAAATAGTTATTAGCTCGAGAGTATATTTACAAATCCATTACAGATTTAAATATACTCCGTATATCAATATGCAGGGCTTGTCACACGTATAAGTATGCACTAGCATACGGAGTTGTCCGTTGATAGAGACGACTATTATGGGTAGACATTAGTTCTCATGCCAAAGTGCATTAATAGGTAGACATTAGTTCTCATGCCAAAGTGCATTAATAGGGGCACAAATCAATGACTAGCTGCAAACCAAATCAATTCAGACTAGAATTAATATACCAGATAGACTAGAAAGTTTCAATTTAATCAAAAACATTCTGAAACAAGTCTAAGTAAAAACATCATAAGTCACGTCAGGTTTAATCTATTAAGTCTGATCTGATCTGATTTGGTTTGAGGTTGATACTGGTCCAACTAAAGACATCCTTTATCTACTTAGAGCACCTATATTAGAGGAACTGAGTTGTTGTTGTTGTTATTGTTATATCATTGTGTGAATCTAAAGTGTGACATTTTTAGGATAAATGACATTAATATTATTGCTAGATTATTAAGAAATAATTTGAAATATATAACCAAATTAAAAGTAGTGGACAAAAATGACCCTAGTAACTTAGTGACTATAATGGATAAAACTTACATTGGTAGACTATTCAATTGTTATATCATAGTGACTAAAACTTACACATAGTATCTTATAGTCACATTTCGTCCATAAATTTTATAGGTAATATTTTATTAAAATCCTCATTTTTAAAGGATAAAATATGATCATCTTTTCTCAAAAATGCGTTTAAATTATATTTAGTTAATTTAAATTCCCCTCCCTCTAATCCCTACCCAATAGCCGCCCCTCTCACTGTCTCACTGTCGCTTTTGACAACCATCGACAACGACTTAGCTTTGATGGGAATTGCCACCGAGAATATAATCACTTGAAAAATCACTCAAAAAAGCAGAAGCTACTTCACTTCTTTCATTTTTTAACCATTGGGAAAAATTTCGGACTGTCACAACGACAACAATGACAATAACACTAACTGACATTGACTTAAATACGTAATAAATAAGCTAGCAACAACTTAAAAAACTAATGGTGACATAATAGTTTGATAGTGACATGTGTATTTTTCAATATTATCTTGTTAGTCATATCTAATCTATATGTAGATGTTGTCTCTTGTTTTAATATTGGACTTCAATATTGTATATCTAAAGAAAACTCTTCTTTTAAATCTAATGTAGAATGCTAATGAAAATTCATCACTCATGGTTATAAACTAGCGATCCATCCCTCGTCATATGCTCTACTTAATGTTTGGAAAATAGGGATTTGTCATTCTCTCACCGTCTCATCATTATCTCTCACTATAGTGTGACACTTAAGTTAGAAAGTCAAAATTGTATGGTTATTAGAAGTAGAAATAATATGAGAAACAATGAATGATTATCAATAAATAAAAAATAGTTTATATTGGGAGAAACCAAAAGGAAAAAGGTTTGCATGATGACAAATAGACTAATATGTAGTAAAATATAATTGTAACTTATTAGAGCCTTTTCTTGTGTACAATGAAACTCATTACATGCCATTGACAAATTTATTATAGATTTTTGGACAATATATGATGCCCATATTTGACACTGATTTAAAAAATAGTTGCAACTTTTATTTATCACAAGTCATAATTAGTTGGAACCTTCAAAACAAAGAAATAATAATATGATATGAAATTATTTATTTATCTCCTTTTACGACTTTTATGATAAAAATATTGACGTACTTTTTTTGGCTGAAATATTGACGTACTCTTATTAATTAGATTGACTCTAATACACACATGAGTATAAAATGAGGGTGGAGTGGAGAGAGAAGAAAGGTTGTTCCTTTTTTTCAAGCTTCAATGACATGACACCATACATAAGAGTGTGAGTAATTAAGTACATAGATATATGCAATACGTATAGTAGGCTCTGTATTTATATCCATTTCCAATCCATTCATCTTTGCATGCTCCACCAACTCTTCATAAAGAAACCCCAGAATCCAAATTGAGTTGAAACAAACAATTGCACACAAGAAATTTAAGAAAAGAAAATAAACTCACACACAACAAAAGTGCATAGCAGAACTGTGATTAAATAGAATCACAAACACATCCTTCCCTCCATTAACATTCCAATGTGATCTCATAAGTCGAAGTTTCAGTATATAGTTGATTTCAAATGGGTAAGTGATTCCCGTCCTTTTTTTTTGTGTTTTGATCAGTAGTGTGTATGTCCGCACTGATGATTTGATCTGGTTGTTTTTTCCTCTGGGATAATAATGTAATTTATCAGTAATATGTAATCCATGGATTTTGTAATATTTAGAAGTATAATTTTAGTTTGATTTGATGTTATTATGTTTGAGAGAGTGAAAATGAAGGATGATGAGGAGCTTGAGATGTTGTTGGATGAGATCCCTCATGTAACATGCTTTGATCATCCAAATAGCATTAATGGCGTCTGTTATGAGTATGATCACGGCAGTGGATCAGATGTGCAGCAAAAATTGATTGAGAATTGTTTGTATGAACATCACTCATGGGTCTCCCTTGTAAGTGGATTTTCCTTAAAATCGGATGGATCTTCTTCAAGCTTATTATCAGGTGGATCTCCCACTCTATCCTCATTTGAAGATGTAATTAAATCTCAATATCATTATAGAAATACTTCTGATAATATAAATAAATTGAGGATCGACCCCGATTATTATCATCATGATGATGGTAATAATACGAGTAATTTTTGTGAACTAAATCTATCAAGGAGTCTCAGTACAATGCAACTTAATGAGGTGGAGCAAGAGAGTGTTGCTTCAAGTAGCCCCACTGCTACTTTCTGGTCTCACAATTACTCAAATAGAAAAAATGTGAGAATGATTTCCAACAAATATTTTGCTTCTGATCATCATAGTATGCATGAGAGCTTTTATGGTATAACGAGACATGATAACCTAGGTGTTCTTGGTCATCTGACCTCTCCAATGGCATATAATAATGGTGGGCCCGGAAATAAAATGGATATAAAATATCATATCCATCATATTGGAATTCCACTAGTGGACTTACCAAATGATGTTACAAGCAGTAATGGTATTTCTGATCTCCCGCGATATGGAGCTTATGCTATTGAAAATTCTTCCAACAATCTACCTAAAGTTCCTCACCTAAACTCTTGTATGGGCTCAGAAAATGGAAGGAGGTACAAGGCGCATTCTTCATGTGTAAAAATACCTATTATGAGAAAGCTTGAGGTATTTGATTGGGAAGCCAATTTGATTGATGAAACAGGCAAGGGACATCACCGTTTTCTTAGGCCTCAAGAAAAGAGGTTTTCACCAGTCAAAGGTTTTCGAGAATGTGGTGGAACTGAGAGGATGTGCTCTTTCCCTTCCTCTCTCCCACTAAAGCTTTCTTCATTCAGAGAAGCTAAAGGGTATATTTATCATATAGCGAAGGATCAACAAGGTTGCCGGTTCTTGCAAAGAATGTTTGATGTGGGAAGTCCCCAAGATGTGCTCGTTATTTGCAACGCGATAATAGATCACGTTGTTGAGCTTATGATGAATCCTTTTGGGAACTACCTCATCCAAAAGTTGTTGGAAGTGTGCAATGAAGAACAAAGGATGGAAATACTTCATAGGGTGACAGAAGAGCCTAGCCAGATTGTTGGGATATCTTTGAATACTCACGGGTATATAGTGTTATAATTTATTCTTTCCAATATGCTCTTTTCATTTTGATTCATTATTACTAACATATAAAAGTTTTCATTTTTTTTATATTAGGACAAGAGTAGTTCAGAAGTTGATTGAGACATTAAAAACCAGGGAACAGATCTCATTGATCATTTCATCACTTGAACCGGGATTTCTTTCACTTATTAAGGACTTGAACGGTAATCATGTTATTCAAAGATGTTTGCAGTATCTTCCAAATGAAGACACTAAGGTAATTTTATCGGAACTGTTATACTACAATACTAGCCCTTTCCCATAATGATTTGACATTTATTACTTTAATTTCTAGGTTGTTTAAACTTGACTAATGCTTTTAATCAATACTTAGTATATTCTAATGAAAGTCATAAGTTTTGTACCTCTATAAGAATTCTTTTAACAAATGAATAACATTTTTACAAATTATAAATCACTTGTATAAAAATATATTATTGGTCAAAATGTAACAACTTTGGTCAAGAAAGTTTAAATGGCATGTCATTATGGTCGGGAAGGAAACACAGAGATAGTGTTGCTTTTTTCTGCTAGTTAATAAAAGTTTGTGACAACAAATTAATTTACTACTCTAGTTTATTGTGTTTCTAACTTGTATTCCACATTTTTTGGTGTAGTTTATATTTGTTGCAGCTGCAAAGCATTGTGTGGATATTGCAACACATCAACACGGTTGTTACGTTCTTCAAAGATGCATCACCCACGGGATTGGAAATCATCGGGAAAGATTGATTGCAGAGATCTCT